CACACACACACACACACACACACACATTCCTAAGCAACGTATTGTTTTGCTTCACTTTATATGTTATTACAAAGCTCCTGTATAAACCTGCATATTCTCTTCATTCTTATTTTTGAGGTTCTGCTGTGAAGCTCTAGATCCCGCCTAGTGCTGCATCACAATTTGTCTGTTTCTCGTGCATAGAGATTCATGTTATAAGAAAATAATTCCCTGCTGAGGACCAAGCCTGAAGATGATCCTTGGTCTCCTCTTGCTCCCTTTTAGACCAGAGTCAGTCTGACTCATATTGTAGACAGTGCATGGCACAGCCTGGGAGACAGTTACATTGTGAATCCTTCCTTGTTCCTTTCCTGGGCATGTCCCATCACAAAACAGTCATGCTACGATCTGCCTAGGCCATGTAGCACTCTTTGCCCTGCCTTCTCTTCCTGTTTGCTTCCACTATAAAGGTGCACAGCATTCCAGGTGGCTCCATTAGCTCCCCGAAAGCTATGGTTCTACCTGGTCCCAAACTTCGAAAATAATCTTGGTCTCTTTGTTGTCTTTTCTACATCTCCCACCACTCTCCCAGCTTTGGACCCTGTGCCGTGTGGGTTGTGGCAATTCCCAACCCATCAGACGTTCGCTGTGACAAGTTCTGTGGTCTCACAACATTGAGGAATGAAGTTGTGAACCAAAGGTGGAGGTTCGGAGAGTTTGAAGTTATGAGTGTAATCACTTAGCTGGTGTCTATCCAATAGGGAAATGAGGTACAGAGCAAAGGTATATATATATGTAAAGAACAAAGGCTTTCCTGGAAAGAGATGGGGCCAGATACTCTGGTCATCCACCTAGGTATCTGATGCCTATCTGGGTTCACTGGACTGTGTGGTTCTAATCGCAGTATAATCTCAAGTTGCTGTTTATCTCTGGGGAGGCCTGCAGGCCTGACTGCTGCATCTCCATTTTGAGCCCTTTCTTCAGATTCCCTTCTAGCCACAGTCTTTGTGTATCTCCTTTTATGTGCTGACTCCCTTAACGGCCTGATTCCTTCTTTGACTACACATTAATTTCTATCTAATTTAGCTGTCTATAATACTCAGATTGCCGAACTCAGTGGCGCCCACACCTGCCTGTCAAGAGCAAGGTCCTGAGTTTGATTCCTGGTACAAAAACACCCCCCCACACGTATAAAAATATATACATATATGTAAAATATCTACACATATATACATATATATGTGTATGTATATATATATACATACACATATATATATATATATAGTTTTGCAAATACAAACAACTGAGATTTAAATATTATTGTATGACTCTTCTTAATCTGTATGATAGTTTCTCAGGTACACAGCCAGAAATGGATCTGCAACACTCGTTGTTTCTGGAGGCCTTAAACTTCATCAGAGATTGGCAATAGCTCTCAGCCTCTGGATAGTAAACGCCTGGGGAGTAGGCATTCTGCTGTCTCATTTACCACAGTATTTCCCCAGGACCGGAAAGAGGTCTCTAACACCCACGTGTACCATTGTGAAGCTGGACGCAGGAATTTAGCAGACTGTGTTGCTCAGTGAAAGAGCAGTTTCCTGGCCTGCAGTCAGCGTTTCTTCTGTTTCTCTCCTGAAGATCAGAGACTGTGCAAAGGGCGCAAAATTTTGCCTTTCTCTCCAACTCTTCAGGTGCTGGGGATAAAGCCCAGGGCTCCGCGCCCCCTCAGCAAACTTAGGGTAGTCGAGCTATTCAGAGCCGTTAGGCCACCCTGGCCTGGCCCGCCTGGCTCCCCCCGCCTCCCCCGCGCCT